AATTTCTTTTTCTGTTGATATGTCAAGTGAAGTGGCGCCACCTTTCCTGCTAGAAAATTAGCAAAATCAGCAAACCAAGGTTCATTTTTTATGTTTATCTTATACAATTGCTCATCTGGGAACTCATCATGCAATGGGAAATCATTAATGTTTTCAACATAATTTTCATCAAGCCTTGATAAATGATCAGCTACCGTATTTCCACTACCCTTCTTATCCTTAATTTCTATATCGAATTCTTGCAGTAGTAGAATCCATCGCAGCAGCCTGAGCTTTGCATCTTTTTTAGCAAGTAGATATCTCAAAGCAGCATGATCAGTGAACACGATGACTTTAAACAAGAGCAAATAAAATCTAAACTTTTCAATAGCAAATATTACTGCAAGTAATTCCTTTTCAGTAGTGGAATAATTTCTTTGTGCTTCATTCATGGTCCTACTTGCATAATAAATGGTATGAAATTTCTTATTTTTTCTTTGCCCTAAAACTGCACCTAATGTATCATTACTTGCATCACACATGATTTCAAAGGGTAGTTCCCATACAGGAGCTGATACAATGGGGGTTTGAATCAATTTTTCCTTGAGAGTATTGAATGCATGTAAACAATTATCATCAAATTCAAAAGGTACATCATTAATTAGAATATTTGTCAAGGGTTTAGCTATTTTAGAAAAATCCTTAATGAATCGTCTATAAAAACCTGCATGCCCAAGAAAACCCCCAACTTCCTTTAAGGATTGAGGTGGAGGAAGTTTTTCAATCAGTTCTACTTTAGCTTTATCCACTTCAATGCCCTTGGATGATACTTTATGCCCTAGAACTATTCCTTCCTTAACCATGAAATGACATTTTTCCCAATTCAAAACAAGGTTAGATTCCTCACATCTTTGAAGTACATGTTCTAAATTATGTAAGCACACATCGAATGATGATCCATAAATAGAGAATTCATCCATAAACACTTCCATGAAATCATCAATGAAATCGCCAAACAAAGACATCATGCAACGCTGGAAAGTAGCTAGTGCATTACACAATCCAAATGGCAATCTCCTAAATGCAAATGTTCCATATGGGCAAGTGAAAGTAGTCTTCTCTTGATCTTCAAGTGCAATGGGTACTTGAAGATAACCAGAGTAACCATCTAAGAAACAGTAATATTCATGTCCTGCAAGTTTCTCTATCATTTGATCAATAAATGGCAAAGGAAAGTGATCTTTCCTAGTAGCCTCATTCAATTTCCCACCCTTTTCTAGCATAACTTGAATAGGACTTACCCATGATGAATCAAAGATAGGATAGATAATACCTGCTTCGAGCCATTTAAGAATTTTTGTCTTCACTACCTATTGCATTTTAGGATTTAACCTTCTTTGTGGTTGTGCCTTGGGTTTGCAACCTTCTTCCATCAAGATTTTGTGCATGCACACTAAAGGGGTAATTCCTTTTATGTCGGCAATGCTCCATCCGATAGCCAATATATGTTGCTTGAGCACCCTTACCAACTTTTCCTCTCAGAGACCTGTCAAATTAGAAGAAATAATCACAAGTAAGGTGGAACTTTCTCCCAAAAATATATATTTCAAATGAGAAGGTAAAGGTTTAAGTTCCAAAGCTAGAGGTGTTTCAATGGACGGTCGCAATTGCTTGGTAGAGGTTGATCCATCCAGTGGTAAAAATTTTCCTTGTCTTGGCTTGAACCCTTCTTGACCAGCTTCTAAATAGTTCAAAACCTCCTTAATTTCTTCATTCAAGACCTGCACGTTTTCACAAGAATTACGAATGCAGCTTTCTAAAGGATCATCTAATTTAGATGCGTTGATTTCAGCTACCCAAACATCAATGCAATCGATTGCATATATTTCATATTCAATTGTGTTAGGATACTTCATGGTCTTAAATACATTAAATACTACTTCTTCACCATTGATCCTAAGAGTAAGTAGACCATTTTGCACATCAATTAAAGCATTACCAGTAGCAAGAAAAGGTCTCCCTAAAATCAAAGGCATTGTCCTATCTTCCTTCATATCAAACACAATGAATTTAGCAGGTATAATAAAATTGCCCACTTTGACTAAAACATCTTCTACTATTCCCCTAGGATATTTAATACTTCTATCAGCTAATTGCAAGGTAATAGTAATAGGTGTTATTTCATGCAATCCAAGTTTTTCAAAAATAGAATATGGCATTAGTTTATACTAGCACCTAAATCACATAAAGCTTTCTCAAACTCAGTATCTCCTATGGTGCAAGGAATAGAAAAACTCCCTGGGTCCTTGAGCTTTGGGGGTAATTTATTTTGAAGAATTGCTGAGCATTCTTCGTTAAGTTTCACCATTTTGCACTCCTCCCATTTCCTTTTATTTGACATCACCTCTTTCAAGAATTTGGCATATCTTGGCATTTGTGACAATACATCAAGAAGAGGAATGTTAATATGTATTTTTCTAAACACCTCTAAAAATTTTTCAAATTGTTTATCCAAGTTAGCTTTCAAAACACTTTTAGGGTAGGGGAGAGGATGTTTAATAACATCTAAATTTAGTTTAGGTGTACTCCCTTTGATCTCCATTTGTGAATCGGCTACCTCAATTGTTTGATCATCATCCTTGACCTTGCCAATAGTCTTTCCACTTCTCAAGGCAATGGCATTCACTTGCTCCCTTGGGTTCTTCTCTGTATTGCTAGGCAATCGTCCCTCTCTTCTTTCTAACAACATGTTCATGATCTGCCCTACTTGAACTTCTAAGTTCTTAATAGATACCTCTTGATTTAAGAATCTCTTTTCGTGGTCTTGAAGTCTCGATTCAGCAGTATTAATGATCTTAAAAATCATGTCCTCAAAGTTTCCCTTCTTTTCTTGTGGGGGCAGCTGTTGTTGAAATCCCATGGGTGCTTTTTGTTGGTTGTTATTCCACGAAAAATTAGGATGATTCCTCCACCCTGGATTGTATGTATTCAAATAGGGGTTGAAATTTGGCCTGCCACCATGAGAAACAAAATTAGCACTTTCATGTGAAACAAACGAATTACCTACATAACAATCAGAATTTATATGTCCCAATTGGCCACAAAGGTCACATGGATTACAAGATGACACATTTATTGTTGCAACACTAAGATTGTCTAATTTTTTATTCAAACTATTAAGCTGAGCAGATAAAGCTACAAAAGAATCTATATGATGCACTCCCCTTCGATCAGTTCAGTCATTATTCCATTGGTAGCTGTTTGATACCATTTCTTCCACTAGATCATAGGCTTCCTCTGGAGTTTTCCTTATGACTGTGCCTCCTGCAGCTGTATCAATAATGGAGCGATTAGATGGAGTAATACCATTATAAAAAGTTTGAATTTGACTCCAAACTGGTATTCCATGGTGAGGACACTTCCTAAGCATCTCTTTAAATCGTTCCCACGCCTCATACAAAGATTCCCTCTCTAGTTGAACAAAAGTAGTGATATCATTGATCAATTTTGTTGTTTTAGAGGGAGGGAAATACTTAGCCAAAAATTTTTAAGTCAAGTCGTTCCAAGTAGTGATACTTCCTACAGGGAGTGAGTTAAGCCAATCCTTAGCTCTATCACGTAATGAAAATGGAAAAAGTCTAAGCCTGATAGCAACATCGTTAACTTCATTATGCTTGAATGTATCGCATATTTCTAGGAAGTTAACAATGTGTGCATTAGGATCATCACTCGGCAACCCACTAAACTGAATACTCATTTGGATCAATTGGATAATCACAGGCTTGATCTCGAAATTATTGGCTTGAATCGTTGGCTTGTTGATGCTAGAAGTAGCCTCATCAATTGTTGGACAAGCATAGTCCAAAAGAGTTCGATTTGCTTCGTCTACCATCTCTTCCTCAACTTCTTCTACTGGTTCACCTTCTTCGACCTTCTCTYTCTCTTTACTTTTGTTGGCTCTTTGTAGTATGCGAAGGGTTCTCTCTATTTCAGGGTCGAATTCTGCTAGTTCTTTGCCCCTAGTGCGTGTCATACACTAATTAATCTGAACAAAGCAAGAATTGGAACACATTAAATAAAGAGTAAAATCCAAATTAACCAAAGGTTAACAAGTTCTAATATTATTTTAGGATTAAATCCCCGGCAACGGTGCCAAAAACTTGATAGTTATAATTTTATAATCCTAGCAAGTGCACTAGTTATCAAATAGTATAAAGATATCGTTCCCACAAGGATTTAACAAAATAAGTACTAAAACTATAGTTTCCCTTAATTATTTAGTCAATCGAATTTCGGATCTAGCAATTTTAACTACTGGAAATTAAAGATAAAGGAAATAAAACAAAGGCAATCAATGACTGAACTTGCAACGATCTAATTGAAAGCGCCAGGACTATTGGTCCACCTAACCATTCCAATGAACATCAATTTATTAAATTAACCAACATAATTTATTATTTTCATAAGATGAAGTTTTTTCTAACTTATTTAATATTCCCTTCCAGGATATATCAAATCTACTTCTATCAAGTAACCCTTCGATTTCTCTATTAGAGTTCTCGAGATAGAAAGTGCACTAAGTTCTATGAAAAACCTATATCATCAGATGAATCATGCATATATATTCCTATATACCATTCGATTCACACTATGAATTATTTAGTCTATYATATGAATTCYCCTTYCGATTCATTCACATAAACCAAATCAACTAAGAGGCGGCCAAGCTCCTAATTGCATTGCGCAAAATAACTCAGACCATATGAAAATAAAAAGAACTTGTTTAAATTAAATAAAAATCAATCCATGGTCAAGGTTAGGCTTTCCATAGCCCTAACTACAAATAAACTAGTTCATGATAAAGGAAATTAAACAAACAAGGTACAAGAAAGAACTCATGATGTCGCCCTTGAGGTTGAGATCGATGAGCTTGTCTTCTCCTGGTCGTCGTCCAGCTCCTTGTTTGTCTCCTCCTTTTTCGTTGCCTTCCTTTGTGTGTCCCTTTCTTTTAGAACTCTCTCTTTATATAATACTGGAAAGATAAGGGTTCCCTATAGATTATCTCCTATAGGATAGGATTTGAATTCTCCTAAACAACTTCCTCTTCTYAGCACAAAAATAGGAATCCCGATATGGATCGAATAACCATCTTATCCTTCCAAAATAAAAGGAAATTCTTGGGGTGAATCCGCCTGGCAATTCGCTCCTTTCTTTGTTCACCGCCTCCTTCCTCTCTTCACTTCAACTTGCGCCATAGATTGAGGTTTCTACCAATTGGTATTCAATTCTTCAATTCCAAGCCCATCATACCTGCAACATTAATTTGGCTTCATTGAATATGAAATTTAAATAGAATTTATAAATTAAGCACAATTTCTGTCAAAATTAAAGGGAATTATCTACAATTAATATATACACTTTGCACTCTATCATCAACCTCTCAAAGGTAAGGCTACAGCTTCAAACTTTCTCTTTATTTTTAGGGAAAATTCCCGATTAGTACCCTATGTTTTCACGGTAGACTCCTGGCAGTCGGTCAGTCTCCGAAGGTCCGGAGATGGCATCAAGGATGAGAGAGGAGGTGGAGAAGAGATGAGAAGAAAGGAGAGAGGGGAGAGTCCCCTTGTGAGAAACCCTAGGTCCAGGCTATATAGGTCTTCCTAGGGAAGAATTGCTCTCCCCCTTTTATAGAGAGGGTTAAGGCCATTAGGGAATGAATTCTTTCTTGTTAGGAAAGAGGATCTCTCTTGTTAGAAAAGGTCTTATTAAGGGATCATTATTTGAGAATCCTAGCCCTTCTGAATTCTCTCCGTACATGATCCTATTGCACTGACGTGGCACGGGTGACATCATTGTTTGGCGGGCGTACTTTCATTAAACTCGCATGTGTAACTTAAAGTCATACGTGTAACCGGTATCTATTCATGTTCTACCGTGATTCCGCGGTTCTGTGATGGTGTTGGGTTCACCGCATTTTTGCGCGTGTTCGAGTTCATCAGAAATCCATGTGTCTAGGATTCATCGCAAACCCGCATGTGTCTTATCTTTGTCGTAGATTCGTGCTAGCCAAAGTTCATCGCGACCTGTCCTATGTGTGAGTTCATCGCAATCGTGGATTTGTGATGAACTTATCGTAATCGTGCAATGAGTTTTGGATTCATCGCAGGTGTCCGTGTAGTGTTGATTTGACACCTTTTGTACTCTAAGGGTCTTAGTGACCACTATGTACCTACACCCTGTACTTTGGGCCTAGGGCCACTTTGGCCCCCGAACTTTAAAATGCAACAATTCAATACCCGAACTTTCAAAATGTGCCAATTTAATAACTACCGCTAAACAGCTGTTAAGTGGCATTAGTCCAGTCTAGGTCCCCATAGTTGATGCTAGTTTAGCGATGATGGAAAATGGCTTTCGATGACCACCGATGAGAGAGTGAGATGGACAAGCCTTAAGAATCTCTAGCACCACAGCCTTAGGACAAGGCAGGTGTGAACATCCCATTAAAATTGGGTGTCACTTCATGGCTATGAGAGGAGCCGCCACCCATTAACAACTTGAATAAGGGAGGGATGGGCCTCCCTTGTTCGAGAAATATAAAAGAAGAAAAGACTCCCAATCTAAGACAAAGACATGATTCTAGGCACCAAAGGGAGGGAGAGGGAAGGTGTTAGACACCCCTCTCCCTTTATTATCTTGTGAATGCCAACCCTAAACCCTAATGTTAAAATTCAAAACTAAATCAATATGCAAAAGGCTTCCTCTAATTCAATAAGGGTATTAACATGAGAGACTGTTCTCTCACATGATTCAATCTCCTCTTTCCCTCTTTCCGAGTGTAAGAAGCCCTAAGAGGAGTAAAGGGGCGGGTGTCTACACACCCTCCCCCTCTTTATCCAAGGCCTCCCACATTCCTACTTGAGGTAGAGAGAGAGAGAGAAAGGGGACCATGAGGAGCACAAAAATCCACAAACTTCACTCCAAATCAGATTTACAAAAATAAAGAGGATGGCATTTGAATGTGCTACATGCATTTGTTAATAAAGAAAATAAAAATAAATAAATAACTAAACAATCACAAGAGAATCGAATTCATATCATCTTAATTCATCTTCAAACAAAGCAAACAAAAAGTACATCAAGATGAAGACAACATCAATCTAGACATTTTATTTATGAGAAAAAATTAAAAATAACCAAAGAAATAAAGAGAAAGGAAAGGAAAAAAAAACTGTTGTAAACTAGGAAAAGTTAATGCCGAATACCTTTGTTTATGGTTTTTCTTTCAAAGGTGGGAGAGGCAATGAGGTGAGTGTTGGCTATTTGAATGAATCAGAGAGAACTCAACTTGGTTGATGACAAAGAAGCTAGAAAGTACTGTGTGCACTTGTGGAAAGGGGAGGCTTAAGCTTAAGGCCGAATACTTCTTCTTCCTCCTCCTACTTCAAGCTTCTTTCTTCCTAACACTGAATTGGATAGGGAACTTTCCTTCTTCTCATTCCCCTATTCTTTTGTTGTTGTAGCTGGTCGAAATAATGGAAAGGATGGAAGGGAAGGGTCAGCCTAGAGAGAGAGAGAGGGAGATTTCGATTGTTGGAAGAAGAGAGGAAGAGGGAGTTGTGAGTAAGGTCCGGTTCTAGCCGAAATGGTGTAACAATGTTCTCCCTTATTCTTCTCCTTCTTTCTTCTTCTTTCTTCTTCCTTGTCTTCACAGCATGGCCGAGAATGGTTTTTTTCCTTGCTGTTCTTCTTCTTTCTTTCTTCTTCTTTCTTCTTTCTTTCTTCTTCTTTACAACATAACCATGTGGAGCCTTAGAATACGGAGAGGAGAGAAGGAAGAAGATGGAGATGGAGATGGAAGGCTAAAGTTCGGTTAAGGCTTCATGGGATGAGGGGAGGAAGATGAGGATCGATTTCAGGTTGGTTATGAGGGAGAAGAGATGAGTGAAAGGGAGAGTTCGCTGGGAGTTTAGGAGGTGGAGTGGAGAGGAGAGGAGAGGAGGAAGGTCTAATTCGGTGGTGAGGGAGAAGAGATGAGTGAGAGGGATAGTTCGGTGGAAATGAGGAGGGACTGTCTTTTTTCTCTTTCTAGGGTTGGTTTGGTTGGTTTTGTATTATTGGTTTTTCACTTTTTTTGTATTTTATTTTTTCTTAGGTTTTCATTAAAACCGAATGGAGAAGGGTTGGTCAATCAGTTAGGAATGGACGGAATTGGGGGTCTAGTTGTGTTTGGACCGAATTGGACAAGTGTTTAGTTAAGGTTTAAGTGAGAATGGTTAGGGTTTTAGGGTTTGACTAAAGTGGTTGGAGGGATAGAATCTATTTGTACTAATCTAACGAGTGGGGTCTTCTAGACAAGGCTCCTTAAATCACTCCCAATTGTCTCCCCCTCATTTAATGTCTAGAATGAGGGGGATTTGGTATTTAAATTTTAAAATTTGAAATTAGGAGCCAAAACTAGAAGGGCGGCTAGGGTTTTAGAATTTAGGGTTTTGGGGTGTGGAAGTGAGGGTTAGGCCGATCCTAGGGTGGAGAAGTAAGGGGGCTCAAATCTAGGGCTAGAATTGGCTCTAGGTTTAGTGAGGGCTTTGGGGTGATTTTCAAAAATGTGTAGGGACTTAAATGAAAAAAAAAAATAGAATGAGGTATTTTGCAATGAAAAGGCAAGTCTAAGTGGATATGAAATTAGGGTTTATCTTGAACAATGAGATCGCACAAATTGGAATCTTCATAGATAGAGGGGTAAAATAGGGAATTTTGTAACAAAATTATCCAAGGGGGTTCTAAGGTGTCTAAAAAGGGTGATGGTAGGATTTGATGGCCTTGGGGCATGTGTTAGAGCAAGAAATCATGATTTGGAACGTGTTGAGCAATAGGGGCGTCAAGTTAGAATTTTTCTTGATGAAAGGGTAAAATGGTCATTTTGGGTCTAAAAATGGAGGATGGTTGATCAGGATGTTTAGGAAGGTGATGGCATGGTCTTGTTGTATTGAAGGGTGTACTGCAATGCGGATCCTGAAATAGGAGAGCAACAACCAATGAGAGCCCTTGATTTAGAATCTTTATATATGAGGGATAAATGGTCATTTTAGGGTATGAAATGTAACGGATCGCCAATCAGGAGGTTTTGATGGAGTTTGGAGGTGTTAGATGATGTATAGTGATGGATATCTTGAATTTAGAGAGTATCGAACGACAAGGATAGTCTATTTGGAATCTTTTTAAACGAAGGGGAAAACAATCATTTTAAGGTATAAAATGTGATGAATCATCGATCGGGAGGTTTTGATGGGGTTTGGAAGTGTTGGATGATGCATAGTGATGGATATCTTGAATTTGGAGAGTATCGAGAGATGAGGATAGTTTATTTGGAATCTTTTTAAACGAAGGAGAAAATAGTCATTTTAAGGTATGAAATGTGATGGATCGTCGATCATGAGGTTTTGATGGGGTTTAGAAGTGTTGGATGATGCATGGCAATGGATATCTTGAAGTTGGGAAGTATCGGGCAATGAGGATCTTTTTAAGCGAAGGGTAAATTTGGTCATTTTAGGGTATGAAATGTGATGAATCGTCGATCGGGAGGTTTTAATGGGGTTTGGAGGTATCAGATGATGTATAACAGTGGATTTCTTGAATTTGGGGCGTATCGGGTGATGAGGATTACCCATTTGGGATCTTTTTAAACATAGGGTAAAATGGTCATTTTAGTGTCTAAAATGTGATGGATCATCAATCAGGAGGTTTTGATGGGGTTTGGAGGTATCGAATGATGTGTAACGATGGAAATCTTGAATTTGGGACATATCGAGTGATGAGGATAGTCAATTTAGAATCTTTTTAAATGAAGGGTAAAATGGTCATTTTAGTGTTTAAAATGTGATGAATCGTCGATCGGGAGGTTTTGATGGGATTTGGAGGTGTCAGATGGTGCATAACGATGTATCTTGAATTTGGGGCATATCGGGTGATGAGGATAATCCATTTGGAATCTTTTGAAGTGAAGGATAAAATGGTCATTTTAGTGTGTGAAATGTAATGGATTGTTGATCAGGAGGTTGATGAGGGTTTTGACATAGTTTGGAGGTCCTGGATAGTGTGTCGCGATGGAAATCCTGGATTTGAGAAGTGACGACCAATAAAGATCGTTGATTTGGAATCTTTTTGGATAAAGGGTAAAAAGGTAATTTTAAGGTCTAAAATTGTATGGATGGTTGATCAGGAAGTTGATGGTGGTTTTAGTATGGTTTGGGGGGTCTTAGATGGAGTGTTTTGATGAAGATCTTGGATTTTAAGAATGGTAACTACTAAGAATAGTTAGTCTGAAATCTTTTTGGATGAAGGGTAAAACAGTCATTTCTGGGTGGATGGTTGATCAGGGGTCTGATGGAGGTTTTAGGAAGATTTGAGTGTCTTGGGGAAGTTGTCGTGATGGAGATCTATGATTTCGAAAGTGATAATCGATAAGAATAGTTGGTTTGGAATCTTTTTGGATAAGGGGTAAAATGGACATTTTTGGGTCTAAAATCTGGTGGGTGGTCGATGAGGGGTCTGATGGTGGTTTGAAGAAGATTTGAGCATCTTGGGGGAGCTGTCGTGATAGATATCTAGGATTTTGAGAGTAACGAGCAATGAGAATGGTCGATTTGGAATCTTTGCGTACAAAGGGCAAAATGGGGACTTTGGGATCTGAAATTTGGGTGGTGGGTATCCTAGGGTCCTTGGAGTCTAATGGAAGGTGCGATGGCTTTAGAGGTGTGGGAATCACGAGGATCTAAGTTATGAGTATTTTAGCCAATAAGGGGGCTTGAAATGGAATCTTAGGTTAATGGATGAGTAAATAAGGGAATTTTTAGTTTGAATTTGGTGGAGTGGCATGGATTTGAATTACAACGTTGTTGTGAGGGTTTAATCGTGTTGGGAATGTGTGGATCATAGGTTTTAGACTCGAGAATTGTCATAATGTGAGGTTCATCGAAATGGAATCTTTGATGGATAAATAGCAAAATCAAGGGATTTAAAGGTTTAAATTTGGTGTGATTGGATTATAAATGGCTTTATTTCATGTGGAGTCTGATCGGGTAACAAGTGTGGTGGTGTGGGACATTTGGGACCATCGAAAGGGAATCTTGTGGATTTGACGATGGATTTGAAGCTATTTGAGTTGAAATTTAGTTTCATAGGGTTTTGGCATATTCTAAAGATGTTGGTAAGGTCTGATCAGGCATTTGAGTGTGAAAAGTGGGTTAGAGAGGGGACCGAGCCAAAATTGGGTGCTGACAGCAATGATCCCTCCACGTAAAATAATCGTGGGATTCCCTGTTGACTTCTATTAGGGCAAATTTGTGCCCACACCACTCTAATAGCCTTTTCCACCCTTGCATTGGGAATATCTCCCCATAAAATAAAGCACACAAGTACATAGATATTCTCAATGCAAGGAAGAAAAGGGTGTTCGAACCGGCTTTGCCCTGACTGAAGTCGAACTCCTACTGAATAGTGTTTCAACACTTTAAATAGAAAAATGGTCCCCCCTTTAAATTTTGTACTTTTGCGTCTATGGGCCTAAAAGCTAATAATTAGGTTTGGCCTCTCTCTTTCCATGCAATTTCATTTGCACTGGTGCAAACATAAAGAAGTGCAAATGGATTAAATGCAAATTCTGATTTGTTTTTGTTTTAAGTTTTACTTTGGAAAATAAAACCTTAAGTAAAACCTGAAGCAAAAAATGAACCAGAATTTACTCTCTTCTTATTTGCAATGCCACTTGTTTGTTCCTGTACAAATGAAATTGCTTAGCAAAGAGAGCCTTCCTCAGAACGCTTAGGCTCCTTTTGATTTGTGGGATGCAAAAGGAAAAATATGGAATACTTTAGAATGTTATTCTCTTCCCATGATTGGTTTTCAGGATGTTATAAGATGAGATAGAAAAAAGGTGGAGTTACAAATCCCAATTCTTTGGGATGTAGAATCTCACCATTTGGTGGGAAACAAGTGGGAATGGTTGGGGAACTCGTTTAACAAAAACAAGACAAAACAAAACAAAACATCTTCCTTGTAATATTTCCAAGAATTAATGCTAAACCCATGACTCATTTGTAAATTATTAATTGTTTAATAATATATTAATAAAATAATTTAATTAAAATAATTAATTAATAAAAATATTAGTCAATTAAAAATAATTCAAAAGTGGCATCTTATTTTTTTCAAGGAGCATCTCTAAAGTGGTTATTCCTATTCTCAAATAAAAACTCCTTTCCTCATTTACACGTGTATACTCACTCAAATGCTAATTACCTCTACTCTTAGAAAAGTTAGTGGTAGTTAACTCCACAAAGGAAAAAAAACAATAACTCATTTTGAATGATGTAGGATCCATAATGTGGGGTATTATGTAGTAATAAAACTTGATTTAATCTCTTAAATTAAATAACAAATCCATACATAAAAATCAAATAAATTTATAACCTAAATTCATGACATAAAAGTTGAGTGTCAAAAAAAATTATTACAACACATAAATAAAAAAATCAGAATAATTAATTTACTAATTAATAAATAATTAAAATAATTTTATTATTAATTTAATTAGTGATTAAATACATAAATAATAAAACTATTAAATAACTAAAAATTAATTAGTAATACAAAATCAAAACTATTTAATAATTCATAATAAATATTAATAAAATAAAATTTTAAATAAAAATAAAATATTAATTCTTACCAAGGTTCTAATTTTTTATATGATACACCCCATATTGGGCATATCATATTGTATCAGGAGCTGCCCAAAACCGAAAATAAGGGGTGCATCAAGCTTTGACTTTTTTGAGGGGGTATGCATGCTTAAAACCGACCCCATAATGCAATTTTTAAAAAAAGAAACTTAAAATAAGAAAGTTATAAAGTAGCAAAACACCCAATGCGTCTATTCGTGCATATCAAGCGTATCAATACTTTAAACCTTGGTTCTTACTAAATAAATAATTAGTTAATTATCAATATTAAGTAACTAAATAATTAATTATAAAATTAATTAATGATTAATAATAATTTAATAAAAATATGTAAAATAATAAAAATAGTACTAATTACATAATTAATTAGTTAAGTAATAATTGTTTTTTGGTACCCAAGCAATAATTGTTATTAGGGTTGATTTTCTCACTATTTTCTTTTTTGGGACCAAATAATGGAACATGGAAAATTTCCACTCATTTTTCCTCTCTCATCCCATCCCATCTAGGGGTTTCTCACGGTTTGGTTAACCAAACAATGAGTTTTTTATTTTTAAACTGAACCAATATCACTGGTTTTTGAAAAATCATTAATCAAAACTGAACTAAAACCAATCGATTAACTGGTTAATTGGTTCAATTTTTTACTGGTTCGGTTCTTTGGTTTCTCGGTTTTTTATATTTTCAATATATAGTATAAAGAATATATAAATGTAAAATATAAACAGAACATTGTTTACAAAAGCAAATAAAAAAAGATGTAAAACGTATGACAATTTATTCTGAGCTCCTAAAATAGTATTGTTGCATGAACACATACTTCCTTTCATCTAGCTAATTCGAAAAGGGATTAGATGATTATTATGGAAATGTTATCCACAGGGCCACAGAAACCTTATGATGTAAATTCTTGGTATGCTGATTTTGGGAAAGAGCCAGCACTTCTTATTGCAGATACTGAGGATGCTGACATTGACATCCTTGGACTGTAACTGAACTTAATGCACACAAGTGCACAAATTGAGCATTCTGAGGTTTAGCCCTTTGAATAAATAGCTGAAATGAGCATGTCTTTAGAAGAAACGAGGTTTAATCACAACGCTGCCCTTCAACCGTATATCTGTTAAATGTTCTTGATATCCAGAAAAACATTGAGATCCTTAATGAAAGTAGCAGAGTTCAATTAGGCATGACTGTCAAAGGAGTTGTGACTTGTGATCAGAATACCTGCTCCATCCATGATCACATTGGTTTACTTTCAGACCTCTTTGTTGCCCTTCCTTTGCTCTGAGTCGAATGTTTGTGTCTTGTCTACTTCCTTTATTAGGGCTAAAGATGGATTTCGAGCTTTTGGTAATTGGTTAACACATAGCGCCATTACATATTGCTAGTTTTCTTAGTTTAGCTTAGAAGCACAGGTGGTTTTTCCATCCATTTGGTATTTTATGTACATTGTAACCGTATAGATTCTTCTAATCATCTTCTGTAGTAAGCTCTGTCTCACTTATCCAAAATGAAATCCATGGCCTTCATCCTTGCTTTAAGGATTCTAAAGATGAAGGCATCTGAATGCACTTTTTCTCTTTTTACCTAAAAAAACCCAGATTGTTTTTCCATATTCCTCACTTCAAACAATCCCAAAGTAAGCTATCTCTGTTCCTTCATTGTTACTGATTTTGTTAATTCTAGAAAACCTTCTTTTTGCAGGGTATGAAACTTTGCTTCAATATGTGGACAAATACCATTTCCATTTGCTCCTTCGTGCCACTATTCATTGACGGAGAGGTTGGGTATGATGGCAAGCTTGATCAAAACAATGTTGTGAAGGATAAGAAACAATTCCTCCAAAAAAATTGAAAGAATAATCTAGGACCTCACAATGAAATCTCTGAATGGAAGTTCTTTCCTGGATGAACAAGAATAGGGGATAGCAGGCAAAGTACCATATAAATATGTTACGATCCATTTGTCCCCTATTGGTAGTATGGGATGCTAATGTGAGAGAGATATAGTAGTAATGGGATACTATTGTGTGGTATATATATATATATATATATATATGTGCTTGGGCTCTCTCCCTCTATCAGTTAGCTTTTAGGGGTGAGTTCTTCCAAGGCACATATCAGATGGTATCAGAGTCTACACCATGCCTCCCAGTCGCAATTGTGCAGCACAGGTGGTGACGTCAGTATTGCAATGTTCGGCTGAGACTAGGTAGACTAGTGCAACATTGTGAAATGTTACAATCCATTTGTCCCACGTTAGTAGTACGGGATGCTAATGTGAGATATCCTGGGATACTGTTGTGTGGTATATATGTGCTTGGGTTCCCTCCCTCTAACCGCTTTTAGGGGTGAGTTCTTCCAAGGCACGTATCAAAAAATATAATGAGTCCCTCCAACAATAGCAAGACCAGTATGTCCTGATAGCTTTTTTTCTAAGTACTCTTTCTACAGCTGTTGTCATCACCCCACCCTCTCATTCCTGAGCTGCAACTGATTTCCGAGAGCCTCATAGTTACTAGATGGAGATGTCATTTTTCACTCTTCTGATGATAATAGAACTCTTGACCTCATTCTAACTGTCCTATAAAAGATCAGGAGAACTTTAACATAGAAATGTTCATCATGGCCATCAAAAAAAGCACTGATACTGAGTTCTTGTGAAGAAATTGCAGAGCCATATTAGTGAAGATGCTGAGGATTCCCTTTGACATGATTATATGATAGAAAATACTGAAGGTTCCCAATGCCACATTTCTGAGATATTGTGAAGAACAATGATTATGTTATAGAAAACATTCTTCTGTGTGCAGTAGTGAATTAGCAGCAAAAAGAAAAGGCATTGTAGATTTGCTTTTCATTCAAAATTCTGTATTACATTAATGAAATATGAACCAAAAGATAGACTAGGTCATCATGCGCTGCTGTAAAAATTTTAAGTTTACCAGGAATATGATCTACAAAACGTTTTCAAAGAATTCAACAATAAGATGAATATTCTACATTATCATATGGAAGTACAAAGAATCAAAGAGTATAATGTAATGAAAAGAATCAAATTTAAAAAAAAAAAAAAACAAACAAACAAAACAAAGTCACCTTTACTGGCTGGAGACGTCATAGTAGCATTTCCTCTCAAAAGGGTACCATAATGAATCCTTCATTATCACTCATGATTACAAAAGAACATATATCCTTGATGTTGTACCCAGCTATTTCTAATGGTCTCACCTAATTGTGGCAAAAATGGAGCTATAGATCTTTGTGGCTCCAAGAGTTGCAGTAGAAAGTACATTATGAGACCTTTTCAACAAGAAATGTTGTTAGATCCATAGCTAATGGCTTGAAGACTTGAACCAGACATATCTGTAAACCATTTCTGAGGGCCCCCAGCTTCACCTAAGATATTATATGCATAAGAAGGCCATCTTACATCTACACCGCATGATCTAGTGACACCCATTCTAATCATTCTCTGTGTCCTCTCCAGAACTATAAGATTGGAAAATGTAGAAAAACTGTTTCCCACGAAGGCATCAGCCCTCAAGCACACTTCATAGTCAATTGCCGATTTAATGAGATATGGATACTTCTTATAGATATCCCAAACCCCCAATTTCTTCTTCTCGAACGGAAGCAGTCCTTCCTTCCAACCACTCAAAATAGAGGGGTCTTCAAGAAGACTATCGGCAACAGCAACATAAACAACAGTATGGTATCCGAGGCCACCAATATGGCCCACCCTCTCCACAATCTCCTCCTTGCTACTGCAAATTTGGCTGGTATTGGACCTCTGTTCAAGCTTCTTACAGTGAATCATCCAATCTTTCTCTATTCTCATATGGACGGCTACAAAAGGTGTAAGCTGAGAAGAAGAGTCTTTCAAGGTTTCATTCTTTTCGAGCACATCAGTTTTTCTTCTCGCCTTGCTTCCCAACTCTCTGATCTTATATACAACCTTCTCCGCTTCCTCTGCTATCTCGTCAACTAAAACCAAGCATTCAAATACCTTCGCATAGTCCTTTACAGGCCAATGGTCGTGCCACAAGAACGGATTCTTACCAACAATTCGGATGACCTCAAACCCATCAGTTGGATCTTCTCTACATTCCTTTAGTTGATTCAAATCTCTCTCCACAGTCCACTTCCTTCCACTTCCCTTCGGAAGTTCAAATGCTCCAGTCCGGTTTGAAAGATCCGAGTATCGACCCACTTGTACAAACCCATTACAGAGGGAATTAAATCTCTCAAACTGGAAGACCCTGTCAAAGGAAATGGGTTGCAACAGATCAATTTCTTTGTAAAACAGAGAAGCACTTAAGCTGGGCATCAACAAAGTTCGGTTCAACATTCTTGCAGTCAGACAAGCCCTTGCAAATGCAATCTTCTGATTGTTTAATCCCCAAACAATCTGAGGAACCTCCAAGAACTTATCCTTCCTGACTACCGATTCCAACCTTGATTGTGATGAATATGTGTCGACAGACATAAAGCTATTCAGAGATCCACCAAAACCAGGGATTGTAGGACATAGAAAAGCACTGAAAACAAGAGAAAGGAACACCAACAAGAGGCATCTGCAAGCCACAGAGTGCATATGCCGACCTAAAAATCGCAAATGCTTACAGTGGGCAAAATCCATGAATCTATCCTTAATTCCCCGTTCTGTATATCATTTGACGGCAACTCTACCTAAACATCCTGGGAAAGAAAAGAAAGTTTCAAAACTCAATCCGACACACTCACACACCACAGACGGGAGGCAGACACAGAGACAGAGACGCGGAGAGAGAGAGATTCAAATTAGCAATGTTTTAAAAACAGATTCAACACACACCAAGATCAAATTTAAACCGAAAAGCCGACAGTTTACCGGGAAGCATTAGGCCGTATTTGGATAAAACCCCATAACGAAATCTCTATTTGAACTCAAACATCAGATGCAAACAAAAGAAAATCCAGAAGACATTAAATTCGTGCACAGATCCAAAGACAGAAAAAAGGGAGGAGGAAATTTCAAGCCAAAAAAAAAATTGCAGAAAATATGGACAAATCTAGCTTTAAAGCTTTGAAGAAAATATGTAATCCAGAACCATCATTGCGGCTCAGACTCAACATAAAAGAAAACCGTTTCCATCAACAGCATAAACATTAATAGGGAAAAAGAAAACAATTTCAACCCGTAAATGGTTGAGACTTGAGACAGAGGAACCTAAATAATCAACCCAGATGAGAAAACTAAATAACACGCAGAAACCAGACTACCATGGCACCATGCATGCAGAACAAACCCTGAAAAAACAAAAACCAAAAGAAGAAAAAGTGAAAAACTGAATTCTCAATAAAACAAGATCAAACCCAATTACAAGCAAGGCAAGAAGAACAAGAAAAAACAAATCAGAAGAGGAAAAAAAGAGAATAAAATTAGAAGAATCCGGGTTAATGGAAGATGCCAAAAGGGAAGCAATAAAGGAGTCAGAAGTGCAAAGCGCAGTTGCATGATTAGTCGAGCACAAAAAAAAGTACCTCTTGCAGCTTTTGTTGAGCTGGATCGTCAACAACTGTACGCTCCCTGAGTCTGAGTTGTGAAAAGATTATTAAACGAACAAAAAAATACGTGATAGTGGGAAAGGTAACGCCAGAAACAGTTGGAGACTGGAGAAGGCGCTTTTTAGACGTAAATAACCAAAATACCCCTCGCGATTTCCTAACCAGCAAGTTGCAAATTGGCACTCAAACCACAGAACCAACAAAAAGAAAACCATTCATCAAAAGAGAAAACAGAGTAACAGACACCAAGACACTCCACCAGGGATCTGGTGCCCACAAGATACTACAGCCACACATCGAGAAATACATCTGTATATTCAGAAAGATGTTCCCGATGCACGGCTGTCTTGTGGGTACATGTGAATAGCGTCCTTGCGGGTAGCAGATCCGAGTTTCCACATGTCCTTTGGATATGAGTCACGGAATTTGAATTGTGTTTTTTTTTTGCTTCATGGAATTTGTGATGTGGTTCAATTTTCTTTTATTAAATAATTATATAATTGATAAATAAATAAAAATAAGTAATTTCACAAACAAATATAAATAAATAATAGTTTATCAAAAAATAAATAATAATATAATTGGCATGAACCCTTTTTACAAACAGGATTAAAATTACTAATTTCCACTGTAATTTATCAGTGCTTACTAAGCAATTTCATATTTATAAGATAATTCTTTATAAATGAACAACTTGTCGATACAAAAAAAAAAAAAAAGCATTTGGTCTTCGTTTTAAAGCCTTATAATTCCATCTCATAAATGACCAATTTTGCAGGATATATGACGGTGAATCTTTGTTCTTTGACTCGCTGAGGCATTTATTTGTAAGGCTTACAAAACAATTTTGGATGTTAACATTGTTTAAAATATTATATAATATATAATAATAAAAAATAAATAAAGGGAAGAAGGAAATTCTGACCAAGGCCAAGAGTATGAAAATTGGGACTCACCAGTCATTAAGGAAATGTCTCAAGGAGTACTTTGAAAGATTGGGGGAACTTGATTCCCAAAACTCCAAGAGTAATGGACTTGCTTTTACCGTGCCTCTATTTTTTTCTCTTCTCCTTTCAGTTAGGGAGCTCCACTGTTAATGTAATTAGTGTTCAATGAATTAGGGAGCTCCACCTGTCAGAATTAATCTCCCACGTGCGACTGAGAATACAAACACGTAACCCCCTCCGTTGATCTTGCTACGGTTACAAAGCCCTTTCCAGCGACTCGTCGTGGGAAGGACGCAGATCGAAACGAGGTCGGAGATCCAACCGGAGGAGGAAGCCGTGAAGCTCTGAAGATTCAAGCAAATAGCAAATCGTGAGTGTAACAGGGAAGAGAATCAGAGATGGAAATTTTCCAAAGACGATAAAATGAATAATATCTTCTGGTTAAAACGAAAAACGAAACGAGGATCTAAGTTCAGACACTCGGACCAGATCAAACGAGAAAAAAGCAGAAAAGATTTTGAATCTTAATTCTTTAATCAATAATCAGTGTTACAAAAGACAGATAATTGGAAGCATTACAGATCTAGTGTACAGATTCTTTAGTAACTATCCTAAGGTTCGGACGCTGGAAGAACAAGAATTACTAGCTAATCGATCAGGATTCAGGAAATGAGAATGGCAGAACATCCAATAGATATCAATAAGATCAAAGCAAAGAAACAAGAAGACGCTGTTTAAACAAAACAACGGAAAGCTGTTCACCTCCAATGAAAAGAACGAGCAATGACTCTCCGAAAATGTATATGTAGTAGACAAATTCGAGAAACACGAAAAGCTTCAGCGGTCGAAATTGAAAGATCATCCCGAGAAGGCATGGAGGGGGATCCATCCATCCCTAGCTTCAAACATTTGTTCGTCGACGCTGTCTGACGCCATAGTTTCACTGATGGATGATCAGATCGATTCCGCTAGTACCACAGCTAGAACTTCAACTCTCAATCTATGGCAGTTTCTTCCGAGCTTGTGGAATATCTATCATTGCAACGAACTAGGAGAGAAACCAAAAGTCTCGTTCCTCTCGTATCCGAGGGCGTTTATGATCTCTTATCCCTTTCTAACAGACGCAAGACTTTCTCCTCGCAGCGAGGGATGCCACATCGGTAGTATGGGATACTGTTGTGTGGGTTCCTTCCATCCAACAGCTAGTTTACAGGGATGAATTCTTCCAAGGAGTAATAACGCCGACGTCGATAGAAAGAAGAAGGGAGAGAGGATTTCGGTGAGGTTTTCCGGCAGAAAAAGTCGTCGGAAGGGGGGGGCCGCGAGGTTTCGTGAAAGAATGGGGGAGGTTTCGAGCTTTCGTAAGTGAGAAGTGGACGGTCCTTTGATTGAATCTCCGGCTTGAGACACGTGGCAATTTATAATCGGGAAAATACTAAAGGAAATAGAGAACGAAATTACGAATACCACCGAAAAAGAGAGGTGAAGTGGGTTGGGTGGGGCCCACGAGATGTCGAGTTGTTGGGCATTTTCAGGGAAGGGAACTGACTGAACAAATCTTCCGTGTTTCGAGACAAATAAAACACTAAACACAACTCGTCATTTGGTTTGGTTTTACGGCCCCCAACGGAACGCGTGCACCATGCGCCAGTCCACTGGGCCCCACCAAACTCGTGACCACGACGGCCGGCTGTCGAACCGCTGTGGATAAGGCGCACTGTAGCTCTGACAGCCAGGCGAATCCCCACCAGGCACCTGTCGTTTTCCAAGCAAGAAACCGAAGAATTTAGTTGTGGAGTCATAGAATGTGCGGACACGATTCTGTTAGGAAAGGGACTGGCCGAGCTGAGTCATCGAGATGGACGCTTAAAGATGTAAATCACAGGTTTTTTATGATCGCAGCAGGGACCCACCATCGGTAGTAGATCAAAATCTGCTCATTTACTGGCTCTGATCGGCGGGGACATGGGACCAGTAGTTTGGTTATCCACATCGACAGCCTGGAGGCAAGACATGGCCGGTGGCGATGCGGATTGATGTTTCACGTTTGGTTGGTGAGCATAGGTCTGTTTAGCATTTACTAGCGGGGACCCGTTTTGTTATTCCAAAATAAAACAATCAAGATTTATATATGAGTGTAATTTAATACTCGATCTTTAAAACGCGACAATTTAATATTCAAATTTTTATTTTCTAATAATTTAATATCCGGTGTTAATTCACAGTCACCGTCAATTAGAAAATAAAAAGGCATAAATACCTCTCAACTATTTCGTATAATGCATGAATTCCAAATTTAAAATTACGATATGACTCATCATCTATTTCGACAAATGTAATTAGGAACCACTGTTCACACTTGCAATTATTGAGATTACGAAAACCAGCTCTCTTACGCTGATAATGTCAAGCGAATGCATTGCTGAAAAAATTGAAATCGATGCTTGAATGCACGTAGGAAAAGTTGAAATTAAAGAATCCAGTGCCATTGTTGGAGAAGACGAAGAACACCAGGAAAAAGTCAAATAAACTAGAAATAGATCAACGAAGAACACCAGAAAAATATCAGAAGAAGAAGAAAATAGGAGAAGTGAAAACTGAAAAGATTGTATATTTTCGTACTAGGTTGCTTTTGAAATTATATCAACGAAGAACATCAGAAGAAGAAGACAACGAACACCAGAAAAAAATCACCCGCTCTCCTACCTCTTGTTGGATTTTTATCTCATAAGAGATTAAATCCAATAGGTTTGATTGGTCAATTACATGAGAAATTGCACCTGCACACTTGATGGAAAAATTAGCTTTTCTTTTACAAAACCCAGTTTTGAATTTGTCCCACATTGGAAAATTATAAGCTTTGTTATCAGTATTTTAATAGGAAATGATTTACACTCCTTAGAAATAGTAGAGGAGAGTATGGGGGTTGGATACCGCGTAACATGCGCGCACATGCTGCGCAATGAGGCGCTTTAGAAGCGCACTTTGCTCGCACTTCGCGTGGCTCGCGAAGGGCGGCTTTGGTTTTGGTGTGATGCTAACCGTTGATCACCATTGATGAGATCAACGGTTACAATTCGATTGGGTGTGATCAAGAGATATAATTCAAAGTTAACAATCATTAACTGTTAACTACTTTTTAAATAGTCACAATGTTTGAAATTGTGACTGTTCAAGGTGCCTTCTCTGAACCAGCACCTACCTTTTCTTCATACCTCTTCATAAACTATTTAAGGAGCATGAATCAGACTCTAAACACACAATTTCGAAATCCACTTTCTCTCTCTCTCTCAGTCCGATATGCTACAGTCTCACAGAAGGTTTCTTCGGAGATTCTTCAACTTTGCTGGTTGTAGATTTTCACCCAAGGCTTTGTTGTATCCTAAGAACGGATTTGTCTGTAAACCAACAGCAAACTCAGTAAAACTGAGTGGGGACAAGTAACGTTCTAAAGACAGTGTCTTCAGACGCGCCTCAGAGCTTCTCCTCCAAAGTTACAATGATCCCATTTTCCAACAATTTTAGAATGTTATTTGGCAATGAAGGCGGAAGCAAGCATGACTTCAATCAAGATGATGAACCAAGATCTTGTTCCACTAGACCAGTTCGATGAAGCAAACTTCAGCCGATGGCAAGACAATGTGATCTTCTTTCTGACCACACTAAAACTATACTATCTATTGGACCCGAATCTGCAATCACTTCTTGAACCCACTGACAAAGACTTAGAAAAACTAAAGAAGGAAAGAGCAAAACGAGAAGATGACTCACTTCTGTGCCGAGGACACATTAAATGTCTTATCAAATCAGCTCTACAACTTCTACAAGGAACTTACATCTCCAAAAGAAATCTGGAAGGCCCTGGAGTTCAAATACATGGTGCAAGAAGCAGGTACAAATAAGTATCTTATTGCAGAATACTTTGACTTCACCATGAATGACCATAAACCCATACTGGAGCAAGTTCATGAAATACAGGTGATAGTCAACAAAATTCGATCCCTTAACATCATCATTCCTGAATCTCTCCAAGTGGGAGCAATCATTGCCAAACTTTCACCTTCTTGGAAGGATTACAGGAAGAAGCTTCTACACAAGGCTAAAGAACTTACCTTGGAGCAAATTCAACAACACCTTCATATTGAAGAAGAGTCTCAGATTAGAGACAGTAGGGATAAGACCCTGGCCGGTATGCTGAACTCTAAGGTCAATTTTGTAGAAAACGGATCAAAGAAAACTGACCCTGCATTACAAGTAAAGAAGAAGGATGGGAACTTCAAGAAGAGTAACAATACGAAAGGATCCTGCTATGTTTGTGGAAAGAAGGGGCATTATGCCCAAGTCTGTCGACATCGAAAAGGCGGAACCAAGTCTGCAAACATGGTAGAAGACAATCTAGTGGCCATGATTACTGAAGTCAACATGGCAGAATCGTCTTTTGGATGGTGGTTTGATTCAGGCGCCACAGTCCATGTTTGAAAGGACATGAAGGACATGTCCTTGTTCAAGATATATATGAACAAGTGACTGATGGCCAGGAGGTACAGATGAGAAATCAAACAAGTGCCAAAGTTGTTGGAAGAGGTAGTGTAGAGTTGAACTTCACCTCCGAAAAGACACTGACTCTCCTGAATGTTCTCCATATTCTCGACATTAGAAAGAACTTGGTCTCAGTAAATCTTGTTTGTAAGAGGGGATTCAAAGTTGTCTTTGAATCTGACAAACTAATCATATCCAAGAATGGGATATTTGTTGGAAAGGGATATGGTTGTAATGGTATGTTCAAATTAAGTATTAACGAAGGAAAAGTTTCTGCTTGTATTGTTGATTCTCTCTTTATGGCATATGATAGATTAGCACACTTGAATTTTAAATCTATAAAGAACATGAGCAAACTTGGTATAATTGCTTACAGTAATGAATCAACTGAAAAATGTGAGATATGTGTAAAATCTAAAATGGCTAAGAAACTTTTCCCTAGTGTTGAGAGAAATTCTCAACTTCTAGAACTAATTCATTCTGACATCCGTGAACTCAATGGTGTATTAACTAGAAAATGTAAGATATACTTCATAACATTTATAGATGACTTTTCTAGGTACACCTATGTCTACCTTATGAGAACTAAGGATGAAGCCTTTGACATGTTTAAATTGTATAAGACTAAAGTTGAAAATCAACTAGAAAAGAAAATTAAAATCCTTTGAAGTTATAGGGGTCTTGAATACTTTATAAATGAGTTTAGTTCTTTCTGTGAAGAATTTGGAATAATACATCAGTGTTCTGCTCCCTATACCCCTCAATAGAATGACTTGGCTGAAAAGAAAAATAGAACACTTACAAAAATGATAAACTGCATGTTGTTAAAAGCTAATGCACCATTAAACCTGTGGGGGGAAGCACTCCTAATAGCCTGTCATTTACATAACATAATTGTTTCTAGAGTTAATAACAAATGCCCATATGAATTATGGATAGGAAGAAAGCCTAATTTAGCATATCTAAAAGTGTAGGGGTGCTTAGCATATTATAAAGTTTCAGATCCTAAAAAAACCAAGTTATGACTCAGAGCTAAGAGAAGTATGTTTGTTGGATATGCAGAACATAGCAAGGTCTATAGGCTTCTAGACTTAGAGTCCAACATAATAATTGAAACTAGAGATGTTGAATTCTTTGAAAATAAACTGTGTTCTGAATCTACAGAAAATGAATCCACAGAAAATGACAGAGAACCTGAAAATGAAACTCAGATCTCAATACCTATTGAAAATAATGAGACTGAAAAAAGAAATTACACAACTATAACACCTACGATAGGACCTAGAAGAAGTCAAAAACAAAGAACAGAGAAACACTTAGGTTCAGATTTTATCTCCACTCAGTCAATTGTATTTTTGGTTGAGGCAGATAGAGAGAAGATTTTAAATAAGATACCTATTGTCCTAAACATTGAAAATGATCCAAAAACCTACAGTGATGCCATGACCTCTAGAGATGCTGCCTTTTGGAAGGAAGCTATAAATGATGAAATGAATTCAATAATGTCAAATAACACATGAGTACTAGTAGACCTGCCTCCAGGATCAAAACCAATAAAATGTAAATGGGTGTTTAGAAGAAAATACAACACTGATGGAACTGTACAAATTTTTAAGTCTAGATTGGTAGCCAAAGGATTTAGTAAAAAAGAATGGATTGATTACTTTGACACCTATGCACCAGTGGCTAGAACAACTTCTATTAGAACACTCATAGCATTAGTATCCATTTATCACTTATCTGTGCACCAAATGGATGTTAAAACTACTTTATTAAATAGTGATTTAAATGAATAAGCTTATATGGAACAACCAGAAGGATTTGTTCTTCTTGGAAATGAGAAGAAATTCTATAAGCTGGTCAAATCACTATATGTATTAAAACAAGCACCTAAACAGTGGCATGAGAAATTTGATTCTTGCATCCTAACTTTTGGTTTTAAACATGAGAAATTTGAGTATGCTAGTGTAATAGGAA